CCCCAAAACCCCAAAACCCCAAAACCCCAAAACCCCAAAACCCCGTATTAAATAATAATTGATTATTTTTGAATAGCACAATTCTTATTAATTAAAATTAAAGTATAGTATAGGATAGTCATTTTAATTGATAGTAGAGTTATTTATTAATCAGAAGTTGTTGCAACACACTTTGTTCTTCTCTAATTTATAGTCATAGTTCTCAGATAGATGACTACCTCGACGACTATCTGTGGTTGTTTTGTCATCTATGTTTGTTTATATACTGCTTCCCTTGGTGATAGGTTTGTACTTCCTTAGTTATTATGGATTTAGGTTACTAAAGTTTTGCATATCCGTATTTTAATCAAATACTTAGTTGTCTTAACTTACATTAACGTTCATAGATCTAAATTTATTATTTAGTTTCATACCTTCTAAGTCTAGATCGGCATTTTGATCATCAAGATTGGGGAACTTTAGTTAGAAATCTAAGCTAAAGCTCTTCTTATGAGAACTTCTAGATGATGAGTCTTACTTGTGAGCTGAATAAAATCGCTCAGACTCTTTGAGCTGTTCTTAGACTTCTTAAAATAGTTTTATTTCTCTAATATTGCTATGGATCTGATAAGGTTCTTAAGCTCTAGGATTAAGATAAAACTCGTCTAACTAGTTACCATCGATCTGATCAGAAATGAATGACTCAAAGAAAAAGTCTACATTCTTGAAATTACTTCCTTCTTACTCGAATTAACCGTGTAGGTTATTATATTCAGTGTTGTTTAGAGAGAAATATACTGATGATAGCTATTCATCATCATTATAAGGTCCATCCGGCATGATTGGAGGCCAAAACTAGTTAGGCTACTCTGCTGAGCCACCAAACCTTTTCTCAAGTTATGACTCGTGAAAATTCTCTCTAAGAGACTAAGGAGATGACTCCTTGTGGAGTGAGATAACTTTTCTGGTCTATTGCTCCATGAAAACCTCAACCACTTTCCAGCAAATCAGTTGCATGGAGGTACAATTTACACTCCAAGATCTTGCTAAAGTACCTCGGTAATTGTTTTAGATTACCCAGTTTACTTGTTATAACTCTTTCAACGGTAGTTTGTTCAGTGAGAGTTTGTTGATGTTGCTCACTACTACCCAGTTCTCTACCTTGCCTGGAACTAACATATTTGCTTTGATGTATTCTAGGATGAATACAGTGGCTGTAATAATAGCTTCAGTTTTAATAACTTGCTTTGTTTTTAGTTGTTCAATTACTAGTGGTTGAAAGACGATGCAAGGTCTGTAAAACCTGTCTCTGCCATGGACGTACAAAAATCCTGTTTTCTATTAGGATTGTTACTAATGAATTATACTTACAATAAGTGCAATAGCCTCAGAAGTTATTGAGCAGGGTAAGGATTGAACTCTCCATTTGAGGTGATCCCTTATGGAAGCTACTGTCTCTTTAACTCTGTAGTCATTGGCTTGAAGATACTTGAGGCAATCTCCATCCTCAAATGATTCTGGGATTTCGCTAACATCGTGAATCGCGATGTACTATCTTAGTTCTTCAAGTTTCTTCAACTCATAAGAGTCATAAGCGACTCCTCCTGTAAATATGTTACGCAAACCCTTGCTTCCTTATCCGTCCTTGATAATTTAACCTAAATAATTAATGGCTAAATAACTTACTTGGAGGATCAAACCTCTTCATTTAAGAAGTTGGGAATGTGTTCTCAAAAACTTAGTAGAATATAGAATCTTGGTTATCTTGGGAGTTATTTAAATCCTCGGATTTGAATGATTGGTTATTGTTCATGTTCATTGAAAATGTTCTAGGAATGTTTTAATGTGGAATTTTAAAATTAATTATTATTTTTAAACTTATTCTATCGCTTATATATTACTTTTCTATTTTCTTACCGATTATTTCAGTTAATGGGGTTTTGGGGTTTTGGGGTTTTGGGG